TGCGCTAAGCCAGCCCGCCGCGCCCTGTCCCTTCCAGTGCTACTGCTTCGGCAGCCCCCAGCTGCTGTTGCGCTGCGCGTCGGGCGCAGAGCTCCGGCAGCCACCCCGGGACGTGCCGCCCGACGCGCGCAACCTCACCATCGTGGGCGCCAACCTGACGGTGCTGCGCGCGGCCGCCTTCGCCGGCGAGGACGCGGATGGGGAGGAGGGGGCGGCGGGCGGCGTGCGCCTACCGTTCCTGACGGCGCTGCGCCTCACGCACAACAACATCGAGGTGGTGGAGGACGGCGCCTTCGACGGGCTGCCCAGTCTGGCGGCGCTCGACCTGAGCCATAACCCGCTGCGCGCCCTGGGCGCCGGCGCTTTCCGCGGGCTGCGGGCGCTGAGCTCGCTGCAGCTCAACCACGCGCTGGTGCGGGGCGGCCCCGCGCTGCTGGCCGCGCTCAACGCCGCGCTCGCCCCGCTGGACGAGCTGCGCCTCCTGGGCCTGGCGGGCAACGCGCTGAGCCGCCTGCCGCCCGCCGCGCTGCTCCGGCCGCGCCTCGAGCAGCTGGACGCGCGCCTCAATGCGCTGGCCGGCCTGGGCCCCGACGACCTGCGCGCTCTGGAGCGCGATGGCGGCCTGCCCGCGCCGCGCTTGCTGCTGGCCGACAACCCCCTGCGCTGCGGCTGCGCCGCGCGCCCCCTGCTGGCCTGGCTGCGTAACGCCACGGAGCGCGTCCCCGACGCGCGGCGCCTGCGATGCGCCTCCCCGAGGCAGCTGCAAGACCGGCCTTTCCTGGACCTGGACGAGGCGCGGCTGCGCTGCGCTGACCGCGACGCCGAAGATGTAGAGCTCGCCGGCCCGGAGCTGGAAGCCTCCTATGTCTTCTTCGGGCTGGTGCTGGCGCTCATCGGCCTCATCTTCTTAATGGTGCTCTACCTGAACCGCCGGGGCATCCAGCGCTGGATGCGCAACTTGCGCGAGGCCTGCCGGGACCAGATGGAGGGCTACCACTACCGCTACGAACAGGACGCTGACCCGCGCCGCGTGCCAGTCCCAGCCGCCCCCGCCGGCTCCCGAGCCACTTCCCCGAGCTCGGGACTCTGAGCTTCACTTGTTGGGGGTGCCCCTGCCAACTGATGACTTTACTGGGGCCACCTGGCCCGAAGGAGTGGGTATGAGACACTTGCGAGCTTGAGGCTTTTGAGACCTGTCCCTGACCTGCCTGAAACCTTTGGATTCTGGCATCACCACCCCCTTCCCTCCCACACCCATGGAAACCCCAAGCTGTACCCCTCTTCCCAGCCTCTGAGAGCTCTTACCATCAAAGACCCAGAGATGCCCTTCTGATTCCAGAAGCCCTACCCACTCATCCCAGGCTCCAGACCCAGCAACCTCCCTCCCCCTTTTAAGACGCACCCAGACACCTTCTCCTAAAATCCCAAAGCCCTGAGATTGCTTCCACCACCCTCGTCTTTGAGCCCTGACCTTTCAGTGGGAAACATCACCCTAGACTTCAAGGACCCCCATCTCCAGCTTGGAGCCCTCAGTTCCCTTCCCAGAGCTGGGGCCCTCGCACCCCATTCTGGTCTCAGAAGCAGAGCACTCCCACGGAAAGGCTTTGGTGGACTTGGAGCCTTTCTTCTCATACCAGAGCTCTGAGCCCTCCGTCCTGCATAGAGACCCACACCTCCGGGCTCTAAGGGTGGGGCACCCTCCCCCAATCAGAGGCTGTATTTCATACCACCCACCACCTCACTCTGGCTCAGACCCCCATTCCTTGGGGCTTGGGGCTCAGCTCCGTTGGTCTCTCCCACCCCAGGGAGGGGCACACCCTGTTACAGCCTTAGTGTGGAGCTGATCTCTAGCCTTTCCCCCCAGAGCTCTGATCCCCCCGTATTCAGTGCTTGGCCCAATCTCAAACTCTCAGCTCTTTACCCTGATCTGAGTTTCATCCCCCTGCCCAAGTCTTAGGCTCTCAATTCCCCCACACACCCATAGCTTGCACTCGGTACCAACTCCTGCCACTCACTAGGCCAGCGTCCAGTGAGGAATCCATCCCTGGCATGTGCCCACTGGACACACCCTAAATGAGCTCTCCAGCACTGCAAGACAGGAGCAGGTGCCCCAACCATGCTAGCAGCTCCCCACGGGGAAAGGAGGGTCCTGGGGCTGTGAAGTCAGGCCTCAGAACCAGGGTCACCCACCCGCCGTGGCCTCAGAGAGGGGTCAGGACAGGGGCTCTGAAGGGCTGGGAGCCCATATGCTCTTTCCCATCCATCTAGCTCTTCTCCACTAAGGATTCCTTGCTGCCACGCAACATCCCCCACCCCTTCTGGAAGAGTAGGGGAGGTCTCACCTCCCATCTCAGGCACAAGCCCTTCTGTTCAGGGTCAGAGCCTCGGCGCCCTGCCTTCTGCATGATCCCAAAGCACAATCGGTGAGTGGGGAGGGGGCTGCCTCTCCCTGACTCCCACCCCCTTGGTCAGGCAGAACGGCTGGCCTGTGCTGCTGCCGCACACAGGAAGTCGCGCTCCTTCGGCATACCGGCTTGAGGCCTGCCTTCCCACCCCTACCCAAGAAATCTAGAAATCCCTTGGGCCGTTTTCTATAAAGTCTGCAATAACCTCTGATACTCTGCTCTTGTAAGTGGTGCCATATCATTCGGGCTGACCTTGGGGCACTTGGAGGGGGGTGGGGGGACACTTGGAGGGCATTTGGGACCTCCCTAAGGTGCGGTGACCTTTGGTTTCTTCTCCTGGGCTGTGGGGAAAGAAATGGGACCGACTGCACATAGCAGGGTTGAAGCCAGGCACATAGACTTCCCATGGGATGGCACTGCTCTCCAAACCAGTCTGTTTTTATCCTCTGAGATGGGGTCATACACAGCCAGGTTGGGATCCTAAGCTTCCTCTACATCCTGTTACCCTTTCACTCCTCATCACAGCAGTGGTGGGGGGGGAGGGGGGGCTTTGTCGGGGAGATAGAGTTGGACTGACAAATGCTGGCATCAGATGAGGCTGCCAGGGAGGAAATGCAGCCACAGAGAACTGAGGCAGTTAATTCAGTCAGGAAAAAGGATGGATCATTGTTTGCTGCTTTGGCGTCATCCCCTCTTGACGAATCACCTGATTCTCCCTCATATCCCTGTCACGCCACAATCTCCTGGCTGGAGGGGTGAGAACTCCTTCGTATGCAAGAGGCCGAGAGGAGAAGCAGCCTAGAGGTGGGGGTGGATGAAATGACCCCTGAGGTATGTGGAGCAAGAAGGCAGGTGGGTTCTGGGCCAGTAGGGTCAGGCCAGGAGGCTTAACTCCTGCCTCATGGTGCCCGTGCTGGGTTATCTCACATTTAGGAGATCAGAGCCCTAGAACCACATGGTAGAAGCCCAGCACGCTGGCGTTTCAGAACTTTAGGGCCACATCATCCTAGAAAGGGTGCCTTCTAAACATTGAAAAGGACCTCAGAGATAAGGTAGGAGCCACTCCTAAGCCAGTGGTTCTCAACCTTCCTAATGCCACAACCCTTTAATACAGTTCCTCATGTTATGGTGACCCCCAATTTCATTGTTACAAATTGAACATAGTTAAAGCATAGTGATTAATCACCAAAACAATATGTAATTATATATGTGTTTTCCAATGGTCTTAGGCGACCCCTGTGAAAGGGTTGTTCGACCCCCAAAGGGGTCGGGACCCACAGGTTGAGAACCGCTGTCCTAAGCCATCTCACCAAGGAACACCCTCTCTTGATAAAGTGCTCACTCTCTCTCTTCCTGGGAGTGTCCCTTTCATTGCCAGAGGAATCTGCCTGGGACTTCCCCACAGTCCAGTCGCAGCTTTGCCTTGGGGCAGGAGCGCAGCTCACCCTAGATTAGCTCTTTACAGAGTCAGAGACAGTGCACGAGACCTTATCTCCTCCCAGCAAATCCACTACCCCGGTCATTCTGCGTGAGAAGGGATTACATTCCCTGGAAGCATTCCCATCTGTCAATGACCTTCAGAGGGTGCTCTGCCAATCCTCCAGGACAAAGAAGTAGGGGTGTCTCTAACATGGTTCAAGAACTGTCTTTAACAGGTCACCTCCCCAGTTCCAAAGACGTGCCCTCTGGTAATGGAGCCAAAATCTGCAGTAAGACCTGGCAAGTAAAACATGCTATTAGCTGTGGGTTCATCGTCAGCAAGAATCTTGGAGAGTTTCACGTGAGAGCTGCTGCTAAGCTAAGTATCAAATCGATAGTTGTCAAAAATTAACTGATTGAGTGCCAGTCGATATTTAACCTTCGTGCCCATTAAATGCTATCTCTAGGCTGCCACCCTTCTTGCGGTCTGTTAGTGGCCTTTGGTCTTAGGAGACTACCAACAGGTCCCCAGGGGCCCCAGCCCTTCCTCCTCTGCAAATCCAGCCATGCACTCAGCCTCTACCAGTCCAGACAAGCTAACGACCCTGCGGAGAAGTCTTAGTTAATCAAGGTTTAGAGAAAAGAAGTCCCAGGACACTGAAAGCTCAGAGTAAGAACCCCTGACTCAACCCAGGGAGACTTCTTCCAGGAAATCACATTTGAATGGGGCGCAAAAGGATGGGTAGGAGTTTGCAGAACAGAGAACGCTCAGAAGTTGTCAGCGTGTGCAAAGGCCTGCAGGCAGGAATATTTTATTAGTCTGAGAATTGGGAGACCATTCATGGCTGGGAGGATGCCTGTGGGCAAGAGGGATCTGCGTCCCCCACATTCTCCACTGGGCCGTAGTAGAGGGACTCCCACCTTCCAAGAAGGCAAGGAAGCGGAGTCGGGTGACATGTGGGACAGGAGACCTCCATGGTGCCTCTTACTGGTTCCTTCTGCCCTTCCTTTTTGTGGCAGACCTCATGCTGGGCACTGGAAGCATGGAGAGGAATCGGAACTAAGTAGTGCCTACAGGAGGCAGATGGGCCAGGGGATAAGGAGCCCAGAAGACACCTTATAAGGAAAGGTGAGATGGAGGCATCTGCCCTGCCCTGACACCCTGATGCCACCCACCTGCTTCAGACCCCCTCTCATCCGTGCCAGGGCCCCCACGGAATGGCTACGTGCTGGGAGTGCTGCTGGATATGAGATGGGCAGGAGACTGCAGGGGACGGACTGCAGGGGAAGATTCCGTCCAGGATGTCCCCTGAGAGAGCAGGCACGGTAGAGAGCAGGAGAGGGAGAGAAAAGGTGTGTCGCTGTCGCAATGTGACAGACATAAATCAGCTCTGCACTGTGAGGAACATGTCAGACTCCCCAGCGTTCTGTGACCCTGTAAACAATGTGAAACTTCCTTTCAGAAACACAGGGAGCCGTCTCCTTGAGGGGTTCATTTCCGTGACCCCATTCCTCTCCATGCCCCTCCGGTCTGGGGTGGGAACCAGCAAGGGCCCAGCTGGAGTCCAGAGGGTGGGCTTTCGGTCTGAAACCTGTCCCTTGGTACTTAATCAGAAATATCTCCTGAGATCTCACTGGGCGCTGGGTGCTGGGGATTCAGCAGGGAACACAGCAGAGCCGGCTCCTGCCATCCTGGGCCAGCCCAACTCTGACCTTGGACATCCCCGCCCGTCTCTGGCTCCATGTTCCTTCTGTCCCGGCGGGGGCGGGGCTTGTGACCTCCGGAGGCACCGCCTGCTCTCACTGGAGTCCATCTCCTTCTTCATTAAGTCTCCGCCTGGCAGACTCATGGCCCTAATTTATGGGCATGGCCTTTTCCGGACTGGGAGAAGTGACGGGGGCAGTTAATATTCCTGGGTAATGCGCTCGGCTCCTTCAGAATGCCCTCCTCCACCCCGCCCCGCTCCCTCACTGCCCCACCTTCTTCTCTCAGGGATGCCTCAAGGCCGTTTACTCAGGGCTGGCCAGTCCCACGCAGACCCCCTCAACTAACCTGTCCTGGTGCCGGTGGGGAAACTGAGGCCCAGAAAGCCCAGCAGCCCTCCTCCAGGTCACACAGGACGTCAGGAGCAAAGCAGAGCCAGAGCCCAGGATGCTCCCTGGGGGCATCCCTGCCCTGCGCTGGTCTGTCTGGCCCCGGGCTGCCTCACCTCCTAACTCTGTGCCCACACCCCTGTGGTCATTGCCTCCTGCAGCCAGACCGAGGCGGTGGTGGCCTGGAGATGGGAAAAGGAAGCAAACAAGGAAGGGGTGGGAGGACTCCGCAGCCTCCATCAGCAGCCACCAGCAGGCAGAAACCCGCCCCAGCCTCCTGCAGGCAGAAACCCTGCTGGGGGACCCTTCTTCATGGAAAGGCATCTCTACCTCTGCCTGAGAGGGGAAAGGGGTTTGTTCTGGACCCCCAATCTCTGAGGTCCCAGGCATAAGACTCCTTCCTCAGCCTCTTGTCTCACTGAGTAGCGGCTGAGGTGGGGCAGAGCCTGCTCCTGCCCTCAGTAAAGATGGGGTCACTGTGATCATGGAAGCACACCAGCGGTCCCGAACTAAGGTGACCATCCACGCTAGGAAGCCTTGGAGGGTGGAAGGGGTCACTGTTAATAATTACACGGGGACAAGGATAAGCTAGGACTGTGCCAGGCTGGTGGGCCCTGGACTCCAGTGACTTTTTAAAAGACTTGGAAAAGAAAAAGTGCTAGACCAGCTGGTCTGCCAGCACTATATAACTAATACACTCCCTGCCCTTCACCCTGTCCTCCAGCCTCACTGAACAGCATCTTTTTAAAAATATATTTTTATTGATTTCAGAGGGGAAGGGAGAGGGAGAGAGATGCAGAAACAGCAATGATGAGAGAGTCAGTCATCGGCTGCCTCCCGCCCGCCCCACACTGGGGATCAAGCCTGCAACTTGGGCATGTGCCCTGACCGGGAATTGAACCATGACTTCCTGGTTCACGGGTCGACACTCAACCACTGAGCCACGCGGCCAGGCCAACAGCATGTTTTTTAAAAATATAGTTTTATTGATTTTTAGAGAGAGAGAAAAAAAGGGAATGGGAAAGAGAAACAATGCAAGAGGGAAACATCAATCAGCTGCCTCCTGCGTACCCCCCTCCCGCCCCTACTGGGGATCGAGTCTGCAATCCAGGCATGTGTCCTGACTAGGAATCAAACCGACAATCTTTTGGGATCCGAGATGACGCCCAACCAACTGAGCCACACCGACCAGGGCCACTACACAGCATCTACACACGATCCTCCAGCCACACCAAACTGCTCCCGTTTCAGTAACTGAGCCGGGTATTCCAAGCCCCATGCTTTTGCTTACATAGGACACTCTGCCTGCGATGCCTTCCTCCCACCCAGAGCATCAGGGCAGCTCAAGAGTCCCTCTGCTTCCCTTACCTCACCCTCTGGTTCCTGCCACTGTACTCCCAACCCACCTTTTATTCGTCCTCATTGGTTTTCTGGCCCATTTTCCACACCAGACCAGACACTCCTCCCAGGGGCCCCGTTCCCTCTCTTTCATGTCCCCAGTCCTGGCTCACAGACAAGATTTGTGAGCACTGTCCCTGCCCCACAGAAATCCACAGCACAGGGGAGACGCATCATGCAGGGCTTGTGGCCTCCTGCTGCTGCATATCAGATGCTCATTCCCTTTGACTCCCACAATCTCCCCCCTCACTGAACTGAGGTTCCAGTTACATAAGATGCCTGCATGGCCAGCTCCTTGTTGC